ACATAAAAAAATTTGCCAGTTATTACCAGTCTATACTATATGGTATTGACTGGTATTAAATAAGACCATACCATATGGTATGAAAAAATTTGCCACATCAATATATATTTCGTTACCACCCAATACCAAATGGTATAGTGTGGTAATATCAATATTTTGTTACCACACAATACCATACGGTATACGGGTATAGTGTGGTAATATCAATATATATTTCATTACCACACAATACCATACATTACCATATGGTATAGTGTGGTAATATCAATATATATTTCGTTACCACTCAATACCATATGGTATAGAGTCATAATATCAATATATATATATTATCTAAAAGGTAAAAAAAACAGAAGGATGGAGAGAAAAAAAATCATCTTCTGTCGCCCCTCGTTTCCTCTTCCGCAATCAAGAACACCAAAATGCCAAAAAATGAGAAATATCAGAATTGAGGCCAACGAGTTGATGAAGAGAAGAAATGCAATGCAAGAGAGTGACTTCAATTTTTATTCGTCAATTGCTGGAGAAAAAAATGAAGAAAAAGAGAATGAAGCTGATCTAAATCTGAAAAAGAGATTGGAAAAAGAAAAAGGAAGAGAGAAAGAGAAAGAATCTGAAAAGGAGATTGGGAGAGAAGAAAGAAAGAAATGAGAGTTGCAGAGTTCTCTCCTTTTTTTAAAAGGTAGTCATTAAATGCATGATAAAATAAAAAACAATTAATATTGAAACGGACAAAATATCTTTCCCCACTCCATGTCCAGCCCTACCGCATGATTGCTCCGCCCCTAGATTTACGGTCCTCATTTATTACTGACAGATCAGTAACCAAGTGGTTACTGACCCTATACCTAGGGATGGCAATAAAACCCATGGCCGCGGGTATCCGACCGCCCCCGACCCAATCAACGCGGGAAATCCCCGCTTTGACTAGGTATGGGGCGGGTATGGGTAAAACCCGCAAAAAGTTTGATGGGTGTGGGGCGGGTATGGTTTTGACCTCCCCCGCCTAGGGATGGCAACAAAACCCGAACCCACGGGTACCCACCCGACCCAACCCGGTCAACGCGGGTAAAATCCGTGTTGACGGGTTTTGGGCCGGGTTTGGGTTTAAACCCGTTCACTATTCACCGGGTTGGGTTGGGTTTGGGTTTAGGTAAACCCGGCCCGTGGGTACCCGTCCACCCATATAATTAATTTTTCGGTACATTTAATATTCTAAACAACTAATCTTATTTATGTTTGTGGAGACATGTTTAATTTTTTCTTTTTAATTGTGTAGAATGAAGTTGATGTTATGGAGTGGAGAGTAAAGAAACTTAATTGAAAGGAAGAAGTTTTCAATTAAACATGTTATTTATGGATAATTTGTGATTTGCTTCATTTTTCTTGAGTTTTCTAGATTGGTGTTGAACAATTTGTATACTTAATTTGTGATTTACTTGAATTTTCTAGAATGGTGTTTTATATATGTATAATTTGTATTGAGAGATTGATATTTGACTTTAATTTTGATAAGAACTTGTAATTGTAAATTTTTTACGACAAAACCCGTGGGTACCCATGAACCCGCGGATACCCAACGGGTTGGGTTGGGTTTGAGTTTTTCAAACCCAGTGGGTTTTACCCCGGGTTTTTTTCAAAGATAAACCCACGGGTTTGGGTTTGGGTTTGACAAAACCCGACCCAAACCGACCCATTGCCATCCCTACCCCCGCCCCATACCCATACCCATACCCGCCCCACCAAGAGAATTTCTTCACATATAAAAAAATATGTGGATTAAATTGTAATCTAACAATTGTGATGAGGATAACTCAAGGAAATAAATAGTAGAAATGCAATTGAGTGACCATTTTAATCAAAATCTAATTCATTTCCCTCAATTCTCCTTTCACTCTTTCACTTTTCCCCTTGTCTACAAGATTATGTTAGTTAATTATTACTTAGTAGGTGTATAAGAGTTAGAAGATAATAATTTGAAAAATATTATACTCTATATTATGTATTAATTGATGTTTTAGGATCATATACTTTGAACTGTATTAAGAAAATGATCGTGTTTTGTTGACTTCATGATATAATAGGTTCGTTTAGAGTTATAATTAAAACTTTTCTTGTAAGTTTTAGGTATAATAATGTTGGATGTATGGGTACGGGTATTACCCATGGGTACCCGAAACCCACGGGTATGGGGATGGGTTTGCAAAACATTCCCCGCATGGATATGAGGCGGGTATGGATTTGGATATTTGAAGATGGGGATGGGGATGGTTTAGACAAACCCGCCCCAAACCGGCCCATTACCATCCTACCTATACCAAGCCTAAAAGGGGAAAGCTTTTAGAAGTCCACGGAACCAAATCGGCGAAAGTCCTTCCTTCCTACCTTCCTTCACGCGTACCAACCATTTGCAAAATCGCCAATATCCTCTTCTTGTTGTAGTTGTGTCACCATTACCCTTCTTATATTATTACAAGGTTCCAAAGGGGAAGAAGACAAGAAAAATCAGTTAGATGGTGTCAAACGAGACCTACTACAATCAAACAAATTCTTTATAGTAGTTCATGGCAAGGAAATACCATATTTGCAAAGTTGCAGAACCAAACCCCTAAACTCGACCAGAATTTGGTGAGGTATTCGAGTGGAGAACTTTCGGGTTAAAGGAAAAGGGAAAAAGTCCTCACCCCAACGCTTTGTATAAATCTAGCTTATTGCAACGCACGCCTCTCAACACCCTATTCTCTTGAAGTTTGTTCTTGATGTATAATTAGAGATGTAACTAAAAGTGAATCCGTACCAAAACTAACTATTGTTAATTAGAGGCTGAATCATCGATAATATTTTTCAAAACAATTTGATTTATTGGCAACCAAACGATTTATAACCTGGTATCAGGGTTATTCCAGCTAAGTGGTTGTGTGTTCAAATCTACATGGCCCACAATATTAACAATTCAAGCACAAGGTGACTTATTCCCTACCAAAGATGAAGTTTTTTTCTCCTATAAGTATCAGACTAACCAGATCGAGCTTCAACCAAACAGAAATGATGCATACCGAATCTCCAAATTCCACCAAATCTCAAACCAAATTATAATTTGCTTCTGTCGATCTTAACCAAATTAATAATTTGGTTCGGTCTTCATGGTGTTTCATTCCCCTTCACAATGTTGTTGTGTATAGGGACTAGATACTATAACAACACTCCTTGTGTTGTTATTGTAACAACACTAGTCTCCAACCAATAGGAAGTTAGGGTTGTGATGACTTTTTATTAGATGAGTTGACTTAGTGTAAAATCAAAACAGGGGTATAAATGTCATTATAGAAAATATGTTTAAAAAAATAATAAAAAAAATAAAAAAATATTTTTATTTTCTGCCAAAAAATTTTGGTCGCCGGAATTCGTTCGCCGGAATCTGGTCGCCGGTCACCGGAATATGCTTTTCGTCGCCGGAATATGCTTTTTCGTCATCGGAATATGCCACTGTCATCGGAATATGCTCACCGTCGTCGGAATATGCTTACCGGCGTCGGAATCTAGTCATCGGCACCGGAATATGCCTATCGGCGCCGGAATCCGGTCACTGACGGTCGTCGGAGTTTGGTCAACGAAATTTGTTGACCGGTCAACGGTCAACTACCACCGGATATAATGGTTTGCATTGTGAGATTTATGGTTTGGGTTCTCATATTTTTTTATGCCTTTTGTGGTTTGCTTTATCGTGTTTCTGGTTTACATTGAGAAGTTTCTGGTTTGCTTTCAAAAATTTTGTGGTTTGCATTGTGAGGTTTTTGGTTTGTTTTAGTATATTTGTGGTATGCATTAGGACGTTTATGGTTTGCTTTACTGTGTTTGTGGTTTGCATTAGGAGGTTTCTGGTGTGCTTTCGCGAATGTTGTGGTTTGCATTGTGGGGTTTCTAGTTTGTTTTAGGAGATTTGTGGTATGCATTAGGAGGTTTCTGGTTTGCATTACGAAGTTTCTGGTGTGCTTTCAAAATTTTTGTGGTTTGCTTTGCGAGGTTTCTGGTTTGTTTTAATATATTTGTGGTTTGCATTATGAGATTTCTGGTGTACTTTCAAAAAAATTGTGGTTTGCTTTGTGGGGTTTCTGGTATGTTTTAGTGGATTTGTGGTATGCATTATGGTGTTTTTGGTATGCTTTTTATGGTTTGTTTTATTGCTTTTGTGGTTTGCATTAGGAGGTATTTGGTGTGTTTTATAAATAGTTGGGGTTTGCTTTGTGGTGTTTTCTGATATATTTTAGGCGATTTATGGTATGTATTAGGTGGTTTCTAGTAGTATGCTTTATAATGTTTTTGTTATGTTTTATGAGAGTTATGGTCGCCATGAGTTCATGTTTCTGATTTGCTTTTTTGAATTGAAATTTCATATTTCACTCTCAATCTAGCTTTAATATTTAGTGTCTTTGGGTTAGTTTTCAAATGATATATATACACGAAACACAACCAAGCTTGACCATTACAACCATTTAATACCATAGGATCACTATGTTACTCAGCTTTGAGAATTACAACTCTTCCTCCCTAGCATCATGCATTCCACCAATAGAAGTATTGGGGATCATTCATCCAAGCTAGGCAAATACATGAATCTCAAGATGGTGAACTCCATTAGTTGGATCTTGCAACAGTGTAATGAATGGGAGTTTAGTTGTAATAAGAATTAATTGGGGGATCACTTTGTAATTGGGTAGTCATATAAATAGAGGAAGTAAACTGTAAACTGGGGCATCGAATATCAATTACAGAAACCATTCTTCCTTGTTCTACTTCTTCTTCCTCTCCCCTGTTCTTTCTTCCTCCTCCCTATCATTCTGCTTCCAATCTTCCTCTCTTCTTCCCTCAATCTCACTTTCTTCTTCTCTATGTCAATCTCAATCGCCAGGACAGATCCAGAATCATTACAAACAGCGACCCGATTGATGGAGTAAATGGTAAAATAGTAGCTAAGGGATGGTAGCTCGGATGACAGTGAGGGCTTTGAGAACAATAAATTTAATGATTTCGTCGGAGATGTAAGCTTTTCGAGGTTGAGATATTACCAATAGATATGCAATTAGAAGAGGATCGGTTCTCTCCATGGCAGCTCTCTCAATCTCTGACCGAGACCGGCCTTAATAAGGGATTGTTGTCGCAGGCTGAATTCGGATCCATAGATCGAAAATTGACGGTCAACAAAATCGATGGCTCATGCTCCGGACAGGACGACGACGATGATTCCGTATGCGTGTGTGGTGAATCGTTGTTGTTGTGGTTGTTCCCCTCTGTCCAGATGCTCTGTTTTGCAGGCCACCGACGAGCTAAAGATGGACGACGACGAACAAGAAGGGGAGGAGGACTGGCGACCTCGATGGCGGAAGAAAGAAGGAATGGCGGGGATGAGATTCGTACTCGCGTTCATGCCGGCAGCAGAGGAGAGCGTACGGGAGATCGAGAGAGAGCTGGGCGGCTATGACTTGAAAATATTTTTTTAAAATTTTGTTGTTAGTTTCCGTTTTTACCCCTGTTGTTACTGTAACAACACTATAGGTGTTGTTATAGTATCCGTTCCCTTGTGTATACTGTTTCACTACTTTTTCCTTTGTATGGATAGTTGATTTTTTTTTTTATCTTCACAAGTTCTTATTCTAGAAAGAGATACACAGTAAACCTAATGTATCTGCATTTTAGCTAGGCAGTATGATTGTATTATATGAGTTTGTAATATTAGGTACCTATTTTCATTCTCTTATACTTCGTGTCTTCTTTAATCCATTGTGAACCAAAGAGTGTGCATAAAAAATGCTATTTAGATTGTGTTGTGCAAACGTCATACATTATATACGAAATCAGGATTGTGAATTCGCTTAGTTCCATTATAACTCGACACATCACCTACCACGTCTTAGTAATTCCATTATACTTCTTTAGTGGTTGGGTTACTGGTTGGGTTAGGGTTGTGGTTATAATGATGTGGCGGGTTGGGTTTAAATTTTTAGGGTTAAATTAGACTTATTAGGCGATTCTGTTAGGCACATCAGCAGATAACAGACTCAATTAACAGAGACTGGCGGAGACTAACGGAGAGTGACCAAACTTGAAACGTTTAACTAATTCTAGTGACCATGAATAGAATTAAATATTTTTAGTGACCAAACATAAACGTTTTTAGTAATTCCAGTGACCAACGTTGCAATTTACCCTTCCATTATCTGTTGTAGACTTATTCACCTTTATTTTTGTTGGCAGAATTTCCAATTTTGATGTTACAAAGCTTCCAGATTAGGGTAGTGAACAACAACCATTAACCTACATATTATGTACATAGTGACCCATTAGGACAATGCTACCGAACCTCTAACCTATTAAACTTTGCATCCTGTAATCAATTTATATATCGTTACCTCTTAGACTTTTAAAGAGTAGTAACACAAAAGGTTTTTACTATGATTGATTCATAGAGCCATATGATCATTTGGGATATGTTTATTGGGGTATTTGATCTACACAACACCCCCAGATGCTAGGGATTACAAATTCCAGACTCCTGCTCATTATTTTGGTGGGGTCATGGATTTCTTAAAATCAAATTTTGGTTAGTCCCTTCATGAACTCTCTGATTTCAGTTTTTTTTTCAATTATTTGGTGTACCTCTTTTGAAATGGAATTATGAGAGCAAAATGTGGTAGAAATTTGTTTTATTCCTATGTTCTTTTATTTAGGAGTTACTCAGTTTGATTTATCATTCATGTACTTAGGAACAATCATAGGTAACGAAAGAAGAAGTAATTGATTAGAGTTATAGTATTAAAACATACGCATTTTACTATGAGATTTGTCCAGTTATTGGACTCATTCTCTTGGCTCTTCTCTTGCTTAATTGGTATGTGATTACCTTTGTAAGTTTCACAGTTCAAAGTGTATGTAAGTGCAACAGTATCCTTTTCATGGTATTTTCATGCTGCAGGTCAAAGTGGTTCCTTGGAGATTGGAAGGAGAGGGATAGATAGGACAAAAGGTTTGAGGATGATACTGGTTTTGTATAGGTTTTCAGGATGTCGATAAGTGCACCGGTATCCTTTTCATGGTGTAGTAAAGAAGACAGTGAAGCAGATTGGAACACAGTTTAAGCGAAATGGGTTTCGGAACTGCAATTTGTTTAGCATCAAGATGAAGGAGATCAGGATGGAGGATATATGCTAATGATTGATCATGTGGTATGATTTTTCAAAGTGAGGCGTAAGCTGATTTTCGATGGTGGAAGGAAGCTGATAATGAAGTATTTGATGATGGCGAGAGCATACATGCGTCGAAGTTAGAAAAATTCGAATGAAGGCCAAGGTCATGTGGAGATGATTATACAACGGCAAAGCTACCGAGATTTGCAGGAGTTTTATACGTGAAATTGAATGTTGTATATGTGTGTGTTTCATAGAAGCCCTGATGTCCTTTAAACAGAGAGTTTTATGCTCTGAGTGAGTGAAATAGCCATAGTGCAGAGCATAATGGAAGTAGAAGATAGACAGTCGAGTATAATTTTAGGAGGCAAAGTGGTTTCATTTTGATTTTTCGGTTGATGATCTCCCATGATTCGCTGCTGTCTAATTTGCAGCTCTTGGCTGTTGTTTTCTATTAAAATTCGTTATTATTAAAGGTTGTCAACATGGTTTAGTCGGGTTGAGTAAGTGGTTTAAGTGTTTATGGTCCGATCGTTATAATTCGATCTTCTTACATTTATAAATTATATGAAATATCATATATATAGCGTACGCCCGTTGAGTTTTACTATTTAGATCATGAATTAACCGGAGATTTTTGCATGATACTATACCCTAATCTCTAATGGGTAAACCCCAGTCCCTAATTTTCTAACCCACATCATGATATTCGTTTAATCTTAAAAAGTAAATCAACAATAATTTCGACAAATCATAACTGTTGATTTTCATTTCAAGATTAAATGAATACTATGCATTGGGTTAGTGAATTGGGGACTGGGATTTACCCATTAGGGGTTAGGATATAGTATCATGTCCCAAACTTTGGTTAATTCATTGTCTAAATAGCAAAACTTAATGGGCGTACGCTAGCCTTTGCCATATATATATATATATATGGCAAATGCTAACGTATGTCCGGACGTACCTTAGTCTACCGTACCCCCGTTTGAATTTTGCTATTTAGATTATGAATTAACCGGAGTTTTGGGCATGATACTATACCCTAAACACTAATGGATAAACCTCAATCCCTAGTTTTCTAACCCAAATCATGAGATTCGTTTAATCTTAAAATGAAAATCAACAATAATTTCGACGAATCAGAACCGTTCATTTTCATTTCAAGATTAAATGAATATTATGCTTTGGGTTAGAAAACTAGGGACGGGGGTTTATCCATTAGTGGTTAGGGTATAGTATCATGCACAAAACTCTGATTAATTCATTATCCAAATAAGAAAACTCAAACGGGCGTACGGTAGCCTGAACCATTCATTTGATAGTTCCGTACTAAACACGCATAAAAATCGTATAAAATGTTTAATATATGTATTTAATGAATTAAATAGAGTGTCAATTTGTGCTATTAAGTCCATATGAAAAGTCAAAGATTGTATTGGTAGAATTTATGGTTTTATGATGTTTGGATTTTCTTAAGTATTGTATTTGCATTAGTATTTAACACTTAACATCCCCACTTATTATTTAAACAAAGCCTATTAACTAAATTATAATAATTTATACAATAAATAGTATTTTCTTCCATGTTTAATATTTGATATTTATATTCCTAAATTATTCGTTATTCTCTTGTTTTCTTATATACCTTCTTCCAAAAAAAAATATTTTTTAGCTTATATAATAAGGGTCCACCACATTATGCTCTCTTTACTTCTTCGATTCCTACCATTTCTAAATGACATATATTTCCTTCCAATCCGAATTCATATCCGACAATAAGAAGTACAATTTTTTTTCAAAGATATGAAGGAAAAAAAACATATAAACAACAGAAAACTAGGACGAATTGTCAAAAAAATAAATATTAACTAATTACTGCATATGGTGATAGGTGTCGCGCGGTTTAGTTCTTTCAAATTAAATAGCGTGTGTCCGTAATGAGCAAGTAACTGAGTTCAGCCGTTAGCCTCCTAATTACGAACATAGTTAGTAAAGACGGTACGGGTAAGTTACCGATAAAATACGTACGGGTATTTTACTTAATCTCTATACTAACAGTACGTTTAATAGTACGTGAATAGTATAAATTGCCCCTGTACTATGGTGTTTTCTCAAACCTGCCCTTTGACTATATTTTACTTCAAACTCGCACTCCTACATTAACCATAATATCAAATCTACCCTTCCGTTAATATTTTCATCTAGGTGCAATTAACTCATGTTAAAACCCACCCAAAAAATTCTTATTTCCCCATTTTTCAAACCCCATTGTGAGCCCCCATTTGCAAAAGACCCTTCTTTTGCTTCTTCCCACCTCCCATAGTGGGTGGTCTAATTTTTTTTTTTTTTTTTTGGTAAGAGGATATACGCATTGCGCCTAAGTTACATTAGAAAGATATCGTTCGTGGGAAACTCCCATTACATCATGACGGATCCATTGAACAAGATTCACGTCGTACACATTAAAGAGATGTGTGCCAAAATCATAATCATGAGCCTTGCACGCTAAGTAATCAGCTGCAAAATTGGCCTCCCTATACACATGAGAAATACGAACATCCCATTGTCGATTCAAAATGTGGTTGAATTGTTTGGCAATACTGCCGTGACGATGATCATCTTCAAACCTGTTGTTGATGATAGTAACAGTCGTTGTTGAGTCAACGTTAAGCTGAATCTTCCGAAATACTTCTTTCCAGGCGATCTTGAGTCCTTCCAATGCTCCCCTTAGCTTCGCTGCCGTGATGGAATAGGTGCCAAAGTTGCAGACATAGGCACCGATGCACCTTCCCAGATGGTTGAGAAACAAGCCTCCAGCAGCAGCTTCATTTCCAGGATGGAGAACGGACCCGTCAGATTGAAGTTGAATCCATCCCTCATCGGGTGGCTTCCATCTTACCAGACCATCATGCTTCTTCCCTTTGATCAGAGTACTTGTTTTTTGTAAATTACTGTGAGCTTTTCCAACAATATTGAACCAAGCTATGATCTTGGCCTGGAGGCCGTCTCTGTTGAAAGCTTTCCCTTCCATGACCTCATCGTTCCTTTGTTTCCAAAGCTGCCAGCAGATGATACCAAACTCAGTAGCAGTGCCTTCATTTCTAATGTTCAACTCAAACCAAGCATCAAAAGGCATGCTTCTGCTTCTGGCAGCGTCACAATTCTGAAAATTTTCCCAAGTTGATCTTGATTTGCTGCATTTCCTTAGGATGTGCTCAATAGTCTCTTCTTCAGTTTTGCAGTGGTTGCATTTGTTATCAGTGGTGAGCTTCCTTCTAGACCTCTCCTTGTTAGTAAGAAGTCGATCATGTGTGACTAACCACAGGAAGAACTTAATCCTGTTAGGTCCCCTCCATTTTCAAAGCTCCTTCCATCTCTTCAGCATCCGCTGCAAGTGTGTATGCTGACTTGAGTCTGAATCTGCCATCCTTCTCAAGTCCCCAGAACGAGGTATCTTCTCCTAGTTCAGAATCAGGAGCCTCCATTCGTGCAATGGCATTCAAAATATCATTAGGGAGGTATTGTCTCAGCCTCTCCCAGTCCCACTCACCTTCTTCAGTAGTCCAATCAGCAACAACATAACCCTTTTCCTCCTCCGAGATATCAGTGATAGCGTGGTCAGCAAGGATGGTTTCATTATCAAGCCAGGGCTGCATCCAGAAGAGGGTAGACTTTCCATCCCTGATGCTCCAGCAGGTAGCATGTTGCATCAGACCATCAGTTGCATTCCTTTCACAATCGCCTTCCACAGGTTTGAGTGGTTAGTTTTCTTCATGGCAAGGATAACCCCATTCTTCTGTTTGAAATACTTGCCCTGCAAAACTTGAACCCACAAGTCAGAACCATTATTAAGCATGTGTCATCCAAGTTTAATCATCAATGCCATGTTCATAATTCTGGCTGACTTCAGGCCAAGACCTCCCTGCTCTTTTGGCTTACAAATGTTGTCCCAGGAGATCAAATGTGTCTTTCTTTTCCCTTCCCTAGACCCCCACACAAAGTCCCTGACTTTCCTATCTATGGCATCACAGATTGAGGCAGGGAGATAGGTGGTTTGCATAGCATATGTAAGGAGAGCATTCAGCACAGACACAGCCAGTGTCACTCTCCCTGCAAGAGATAGAGTTCTGGCTTTCCAACTCGAGTGCTTCTGGTCAATCCTATCAAGTATGTACTTATAGGTGGATTTGGTAATGCGCCCATGAATCACAATGACTCCAAGGTACCTTCCTAAGTCAGAAGTTGCTTGGATTCCAAGTTTGTTGCAAATCTCAACTCTGCTTTGACTTTTAACATTCTTGGAAAAAAATACCCTAGATTTTTCCTTACTAACTGATTCTCCTGATGAAGCACAAAAGCAGTGAAGGCAGTTCATGACAATATCAGCTTGTTGGGGGGATGGCTTCCACAAACATGATAAGGTCATCAGCAAAAAATAGGTGGGATAAAGCAGGTCCACCTGGAGACAACCTAATGGGATTCCATCTATGTTTGCTAACTTTACTAGAAATGCAATGCCCTAATCTTTCCACACAGAGAGTAAAAAGTTAAGGGGAGAGGGGACATCCCTGGCGAAGTCCTCTAGTGGGTTTGAAGCTGTCAGTCTCTCCCCCGTTCCAAAGCACTTGGTAGCTAGCAGTGGTTACACACTCCATGATAATTCTGATGCATTCCACTGGCAGTCTTGCAGCTTTGAGTGTTTCTTCAAGGAAGTCCCATTCAATCCTGTCGTATGCCTTGGCTAGGTCCACCTTCAGGAGCATATATCCCTTCTTACCACTCTTCCTGGCCATAGAATGGATGGTTTCCTGCAAGATGATGATATTATCAGTGATATGCCTCTTTGGAATAAAACTTGACTAGTTCTTATTGACTAACTGATGCATCAGGGGTTTGAGGCTGTTAGCAATAAGTTTAGCCACGACTTTATATCCTACATTGCAAAGGCTGATGGGTCTAAACTGATTCATGGAGGAGGGGTTATCAGTCTTAGGAATCAGAGCAAGCAAGGTTTCATTTATAGACGGGATCAAGCTGGGGTTTCTAAAACAGGAAAGAATGAAAGCAGAAAAGTCCCTTCCCACAGAATCCCAGCAGTTCTGGAAAAAGAGGGCATGAAAGCCATCTTTCCCTGGAGCTTTAAGCCCATTCATATCCATAATGACAGCTCTAATCTCCTCAAAAGTGGGAGGGGAGCCAAGCTTAGCCAACAAGTTATCATCAATAAGAGGAAATAAAGCAGGAACAGCCTGCTTAGCAACGACCACAGACTTAGTAAAAAGATGCAAGAAATACTCTCTGACCATGGTAAGGAGGGTGTCAGCATCATGAACCCACTGTCCTTGTTCATCCCTAAGGTAGGTAATCTTATTCCTCTTCCTTCTGCAAAGTGTACTGGTGTGGAAGTAGTTGGTGTTGAGGTCTCCAAAGACAACCCACAGTGTTCTAGACTTCTGGGTGGTCTAATTTGAAGAATGGAGTGGAATTTGGAAATACTGTTGGCATCTACGAAAGCAATTCTAACGTATGGCTACTAACTCAACGAATCAAAGTCTGGTTCATAATGTCTAGACATGCACAAGAAAGCCTTAAGAAGATCAGTAACTATGAAGCAAGAACTCGTGAGTAACCAAACTTGAAGCACGTCTCTTGTATGGTGTAATGGGTATTAAAATCTAGCACCAATGAGGCTTGTTCAAAGTTGAAAAGTTGTACCACGGTTTCAATGTTTTCAAGTGCGAGTCCTTTTGATCAAGTTAAACAAGAAAATTTGGTAGAACCCAAACAAACCATGTTTGTAAAAAACCTAGCCCATTTTCGCAACTGTAAAACCCAAACAAACCAAAAAGCACTTAAAATCTTCAATCTCTTTTGGCATTGTAATTTGCAAGAGCTTTGTTCTTTAACTATGATGACACTTTCCATTATTGAGCAAATCTTTAAGCAAACCCATCCAGTTTTCCCACCCGGAGAAAAGCATATGAACAAAAGATCAGGCCCCTCCTGTCCTCCCCCTCTTCTTCTTTACAACCCAATTTCTCTGCTTTTTTATTTTGTACAAATTCATGGTGCATGAGAGCTGGGAACAAAACAGTACAAGAAGTTTATTGGAAAAACCAAAGATTGATGATTCTCTTTGTATAGATAGTCAATAACTTAACACAGATTTACACTTCCATAAATTACAGAAAACTATAAGACAACAACAAAGCCATTACACTGATCTTGAACTGGGGAAAGAGAAAAGTAAAAAAAAAAAAAAACAGGAAACAAACATATGAACAAGCAAATTGTTTGGAACATAATGAGAACATGAACCCCAGTTGCCTCATAAATTAAGGAAATTCACCCTATGATTAACATTCTATGCCAATTTCTGTATGGCTGTGTCCATTTGGATTGAGGAATGGAACACCTTCAATTGCCTTTTCCTGAGGAACTCCCTGATTCAATGCTGCTTCGCTCTTGTTTGTATGCGATGGAGCAGTTGCATCACTAGTGCTCTTTTTTCTACCCAACTTAGGTGATTTGGCACGAGTTGTTGGTACCTAGCATTTAAAAGTAAAAGCTATCACATATTACAGGCCATATACTAATATAGAGTCACAGACTCACAGGTGTCCTAGCTTAGCCTACTTCCACATACAAAAGTTTCAGAGCTCTGTTCACTAGTTAAGTGCTTACATAACATCCAACAAAGATATCAAGAGACATGGAAGAGTTTATCAACTCTAAGATACCTTTTTCAGCTCAGTCTTTTGGGGTGGACCTTCATGATAGAAACTTGGCATTGGGTTCGCCTTGAATGTTAAACTCTTTCTTAATTGCTTAATAGCTGCCTCCATCTCTTCCTTCAGAATCATAAAATTCGGGAATCAACATGCAATACATAAGGTGAGCTGATACACGGCAGAGATAAACAGATTTTCAATCAATTACTAAATTGCAGTTTGGATATATATAAAATATTTCACCTTTGTCCTTGCTTCGTTTTGGGTCTTCTCAGCCTCCAGAGCTTGTTGTTTCTCCTCTAATTTTGAGTAAAACTAAGAGATGGGAAACACAACAGAGGTATTGGTGTCGCAATCAGAAAAAGCTACAGCAAAGCTCAGTAAAGGACACAAAATAATCCGACATTTTCTGCTAAACTCGGTGATGTTTATGTTAAAGGTATACCTCCTTTCGTTTCTCAGCACGTTGGCTAGATCTGAATTTTGGAGCGGAAGCAATAATTGAATGTGTCTTCATTGTCTGCACAGAAGCTCCAGTACTAAACATATGTTAAGGTTTACAAATGAATCTGACAACTGAGCTAGGTGACCAAAGAGCTGACTGGCAGAACTAGAGATAGCACTGAATTTTGATAGGATACGAGCTAGTGACAGAACATGAATCTTCTTCTCCGGGATGCTTCTTGTTCTTCGGTTGTAATGGCCTTCTAGTCACTGGAAGAGGCTGCATTCAACATAAAGCATTACACAATAAATAAGACTTTGATTCTAACAATAACAGCGACAAATAACAACTCATACAGTTGATTTTTCTTCACCCTCCTAAGACCAATGCTGTAATCTGAATACTGGGAGATGATTAAGTAATTCTTGAATTTGGAAAGATGCAGCATCAAGTGGATAATTTATTCTCGTAAGCAGTAGCTACCTGATTCTGTTTCGCCGTATTTGGACGTAGCACATTGTTTCCTTTAGTTTTTTTATTTGGACCAGCCTTTGCAGAAGGACGAGTTCCAGATGACGCACGCTTTTCAGTTGCTAGGGCAAATGGTTGTGGAACAGTGTGTTTTGTTCGAGCAACTCCATGCTTCGCTGCATGTTTCTTGGGTGACCTATGCGACTTGTTCTCATCCTTCGATGCCTTGGTTCCTGATTTAACTTTCTCATCTAAACCGTCCTCAGATGATGAATTTACAGCAGACTGGTCCTCCTTACATTGTTCAGCAAGGGAAAACTCAATAGTCTCAACCACAATTTCAGTTGTGCATTCTTTCACTTCGTACTCCTTCGACTCAATGCTCCCTTCTGCACTCTGTTGTTCAGCATCAACGCTGATCGGCTCATAGGATTCATGGACATGATCATGATTTAGCACAACAGGTTCATCTGGGTCATGGGAAGTCCCATTCTGATAAGCTATTGCAAAATCATGCTCCTTGTCGATGCAGATATCCATAACTTCTACCCCCATTGCCTACAACTAGCAGAAACAGAAAATCAGCATTATTATTGATTTGAATATAGCTAACATGTTCCTGCAGCAAAATCCCATGCTAGTTGTTCCTAGGTTGAAGTTCTCTCTCTCCTTGAAGAACAAAAACACAGAAGTCACGACACAGTTAAGTTTCAACAGATCATCCATGGCGCTCTAATTCTAATCGGTCCGCCTTCCCAGTAGTGCAAGAAACTTTAAGTGGACGTCAAAGTCTGTGATTTTGACTTGTAGTGGATCCGATTAGTTTCAGTATAGTTTATGGAAACAAAGCATAAATCTTTTAAAACATCCTTAGCTAATAAGCGCAAGAATGTTTCTTTTTTTAAACCTCCAAGCTTCCTAAAGCTGGACACCTGAAGTACCTCTTTGACAAATGTTCAACAGTCAACTTGCTTGATAAAGGAGAAGACTCTCACTTGACAATAAAAATTTGCTGCTTGATCAAAATATGAGACACAAACACAATTATGGACAAAGAATCACACAACACACCTTTTTTTCTTTCTTTTTGGTACCATCAACACTCCTAATTACTTGGGGGGAAAATGACTGACTCGGCACCAGAATCATCAAGTTTCCTTAATGAATGTAAGCAAGTCAGACATATGTACAAGCAGGGTTTCACTGAAAAAAGCAAGAACTCAGGAGTTCTCATGGACAAGGGCAATCACGATCATAAAAAACCAATCAAGCCAACCCAAGAAAAGATTAGAGAACACAACTGCAAACAAAAAACCACGATCAGCTTGAACATATAAGAACGAACAAACCAATTTGCAAGCATAGACATGCAATTTCTGTCCATAGCTTCACCTTACAGCATACTGTAGGCTGTTTCAGTTCCAACTCTCAAACCACAAAAAAAAAAAGGTATAAAAGAGTCAAAAGGCTCGATCGCCATTAAAATGAAAGCCAAGAAGCATTACGTCGAAGGAGTAAAAGAAGGGGGCAAAACACAATTACACCAACTTCAGACACACTCCCCGATTCTCGACAGTTTCTCAACCCACATTTTCACAAACACCATTCCCCGTCAAATCCACATTCCAAAGCAACCAAGCCAAAACAAAGAAATCAACCGGCAGTGAGATCAAGGAGCCGTGAGAAGACAATCAGAAGATGTGGATAGGAAGGATCCAAATTGAAGGTACGTTACGCGAAGGAATGGAGAGTTGAGAAAATGGCGGATTATGTGACTTACTCACAGTTCTGGGTCTCGCCTGCCTTAATCGAGGAGGGAGCTCTTTCGTTTCTTCACCGGCCTGGTCTCTAATGGCTTTTGGCTGGGAGTCGAGTGTTTGTTTCTGTTACTTGGATTTTATAGTAGTGCTTGCAAAATGTGCCGCCTCCCGTGTGGCCGTTAACGCCGTTTATTGACGGTCACCGTGTTGGAATTTGAAAATTGAAATACAATTCTGGAAAGAAAAGAAGAAATACGTTAAAATGGTTAAGGAAATGGATGGATCAGGGTTGTCAAACCGGTTTATACCAGTGTCCGGTTTAGCAAGTGGAATGGTTCAATCGGTGGCACATACCGGTTTGTGCCGGTTCATGTCGGTCAATATTACAAAAAAAATTATAAATACTCATATTTAAACATGACATTTAACGTCAATACCTAAACATTTATACTTGAATCCAACAAATAACATCAATATTTAACTTTTATACTCATAAAATAAATAATAATATAATTTTTATCAATTAAATTCTCTAAAATAAAGTTATTTTACTTATAGATTCGTATATCGATCATGCCGGTTATACCGATGGTGTCACACCAATTTTATGACCGGTACCGATGACATGCCGGCCGGCGTGACAACCATGGGATGGATGGATTGTTCTTTCTTCCTTTTAGTTATGGTAGGAAGGAGAGGAAGAAATGAGATGCTTTTTGTTCCATTTTTCCATTAAAACACAAAGATCCTCTTGTCTCGACAGTCGAGCCATATCCCCTTATTTTGATAAATGACACATTGACACCAATGCAGTCAAAAGCGCGATTCTACCTAAAAGCGGAAAAGGGGTAAAATCGAAAAGCGGCGAATCAAAGCGTAAAAGCGTAAGTTTTTTATGCATCATGTATAATAGTTAAAAATCTGTTAAGTACCACATGTATTATGCAAAATATGAGTGCATGGAGTTTAGACAAGTGAATATATACATTCAATTCATGTCCAAATTAAAGCAAATTCATAACATCTTAACAATAAGTTCATAAACATAAACTGTAACCCACAAACGAGTTAATAACCAAATTCTCACAACATTAGCTTCACATTCTGCCCGTGGTTTTTCAAAGGTTCAATTAGAAACATCACATATACATAATTTAGTAGTAGCATACGTAGGTAAACCAGTAGGTTATACGCCTATTGGAAATTATAAATAGTTTCCTTCATTTTGCTGGGTTGGTTTAAATTATTGAGAATATGTGAGTTGTAATTTAGCTAGAAATACCTGCTAGGTTATATGTTCAGGGTGGACTAAGAGTTGAGAAGGGGAAGCATTAACCCATCATTTAGGAGTCATAGGTGAAGTGGGGACGGGGTATGACAAGATAGAGACAGAAACTAACATGGTGTGGCGCCAGCGAGTGGCGACAGGCGATGACGAGTGCGACGGGTACTGCCGCGTTGGAGCTATCGAGTGCGACGGGCAAGAGATTCGCTGGAAGGTGGCGAAGACGGTTGCAGACTTGCAGCGGCAGCGAATACTTCACTGTAAGGCCGGCTGCGCGGCGGCGCAGAGTGTGCTGGAGTGCTGGAGATGGAGGATTAGGGATTGCGGAAGAGTGGTTTGGCAACCTCAACCTAATATCCACCCCCTTTCACCCCTTTTTTTTGTCCTAAGTGATCAAAATGACGTCGTTTTTGTTTGGCGGAGACAATTTTCTCCTTTGCTTGGAATCGGATAAAAACGGTATGAAAGCGCGCTTTTATTCGATTTTAACGATTTTAACGATTCTACTAACGCTTTTGACTGATTTTGAGTAAAATACGATTTTATTAGTGATTTGAAACGTTTTCCTACCCTAGAAACGTAAAATCGTACGATTTTACGCTTTAAAGCGCGATTTTGACTACACTGATTGACACCCGATTTTTCCCCCTAAATAAAGAATAGAAATATAATGGAGTGTACACCAATTAACCAAATTGCAATTTGGTACAAGTTTTCAGCAAGTACCAGTTAGTTAACACATATATTTCAACCAATGTTCGATCATATTTGTTGGAATTTGCACAAGTGATGGTTTGTGTTGTTTATTGTTACACTATTTATATTGATTTAAATAGAAATATTGCGCTAATAATGTTTTACTTAGCTATTCTTACGGTATAACATTTCACATTCTTCTAATTCATCATATTCATTATTATCTTTGTCGTCTTTCACCATCATCTCTTTTTTGGTCCCCCATGTCATCTAGCTCTATTTCCCTAATACCCTCTTTCTCTCCTTCTATGCCACAAAAATTTTTATATAAAAATGTTGACATTTATAGGTTTATCAATAATCTTAATGTTATTTAGAATTTGAATCAAATACGTGGTTTCTATATTGTAATTTTTCGTTTAGAAAGGTGAGATTCAATCTCGCCAATACCAAACGTCCAATAAAAAAACAGCCTTGACAACCAATCCTCACGACAACCAAACATTAATCATTGTTAATTCGTTTAACCATACCAACATTCTTAGATTTGCTGTTGTTGAATCGTGTAATGATGATACACACTCATGCCTGCATAACCACTTTCTTCCATGGTATGCTGTTTAAGATTTGAAATTGCTAATCTCAAACAAACTAAAAATTTTCTAAATGATTTTAGTACTTAAATTTTTTGAAATTTACATATTGATCCAATGTTTAGATGTCATGTAGATCCATGTATCCAATTCAGTGAATCCACCAATCCATTTAATTCAAATTCAAGAAAAAATTAATCCAATCTACCTTCATGAATCCAAATCATTTGACACATCTAAACATAAATTGAACATTCTCTTAACATAAAAACAACAAGAGCACTTCTACTATGCTATATAGTATTGGTGCTTTAATGTACAACTTGAAGTTGTACCATAACATTAAATGTATAAATTTAGGTTGTACCATAAAGAAATTTGTATCATTATGTTATGGTACAACTTTACAACTTGAAGTTGTATCATCACATAAGGTACAAGTTTAAGTTGTACCATAAAAGAATTTGTACAAAAAGTATAGGTACAATTTGAAGTTGTACCATAACATTAAATGTATAATTTCAAGTTGTACCATAAAGGTAAAAACTTATAGCACCAATGCTATATAGCATTGTAAAATTTCTCAAACAACGAAAATACGTGTTTACTTTAGCATACGAGAGGGCAAAAAATCCTACTAAGCGGACCAGCATCTGATACAAACGACCTAAAGGACGAATGCAATTGGTGGTGGAACTTGCAAAAGGCTTGCTGTTGTTTTATTTATATGCAAGAGCAATTTGGTTCTGTTTCCTCCATAGCAAAACGACTTCACGACACAGTTAGGGCCTGTTTACTTTCATTTCTGTTTCCTGTTTTTGAGAAAACAGATGTTGAAAACAGGTGAAAACAACATTTTGTCGTTTTCGAAAACAGCAGGAAGTTGCCACTTTCTGTTTTCATAGTTGGAAACGAATAGAAAACAGAATGAAAAGTAAACAAGTTTTCTCATTTCAGTTGCCAAATTTATCACATGAAAACAGAAAACAGGAAACGAAAATGAAAGTGAACAGGGCCTTAGGCTTTCATGATAACTAAGTGAATTATATTGTCCTGCCCTAGCAGTCTAGGCACTACGCAAGGTGGGGGCTTTTGTTAAACTAGGTAAATATGGGGACTTCTTTGTATATATTAATTATAGTGTGGACTGCTTTGATGATTGATGTGAAGCTTTGTGGTTAAGCTCCCTACCTCTTACGTAGACTATATTATTTTTTTTTACAAGGGATCACTTATATTGCACCACCAACCGAAAAACATTGTTGGACAATTACACCAGAAACTCGGAAATTAAATCAAGGACAACAACCCAGTCACTTGGGAGAGAGTTCTGGAGAGCTGTTACCAGAGTGAGGCAATCCGAACACACCGTAATCGGGCAATGTAATCCTTGAGCTAATTTGAGAGCTTCCAGTAGAGCCTTCGCTTCTGCTTCGATTGGAGATGCGCAAAGAAGAGTCCCAGCTCTCCCATCACAAACTTGACCATGGCTGTTGATGATGACCACGCCATAAGCCGCCTCCTGGGAATCATTTCGAAACGATCCATCACAGTGAATCTCATAAGAGAGATTGCTCGGCGGTAGTGCAAGCTGATTCTGGGTATGAATGAGCTGGGGGTGAGAGGCCGGTGATCTCGCACTAGGGGCCTTGCAAGAGACCCATTCACTAAGATCTCCCGTCGCCTTGGAGCAAGTCAGGGGCGGCCACGGTAGAGCATTTCGGAAGACCTTTTCATTTCGTGTCTTCCAGACGTTCCACATGGTGAAAATGACTTGAAGGATGGACTGGTACGAGACGTTATCCTTTAGAGCGAAGAGCCACGTGAGAATGTTGACCGTGATCAGCGGCGTACTCATGATCGGGAACAAGTGTTTCCAGGACTCTTTAGCATGGTGACACTCAAAGAGGCAATGGTGGATGGATTCCAAAGGTGCATTACAGATCGGACAAGCTGTGGACAGAGAGCATCTTCGATCATGCAAGCGGCTTTTTGTAGCCAACACCTTCTTAGCAACTTTCCACACAAAAAAACTTCAGCTTCAGAGGGAGCATGAGGCTCCAAACCCATTTCCATCTCGCTTTGTCAAGTGTGGAATTAGCCTGGAACCCTTGATCCCGTGTCCTTCTGTTGTCATGGAAAGCATGGTAGGCTGACGAGACAGAGAAATCGCCTTTCTTGGTGAACTTCCATGCCCAGAAGTCCTCCGCCCCTTGACTTCCAATTGGCACATTCTTGATGTCCTGGATTCGGTGAGGCGGAGCTTTGAGTAACAATGCTTGCTCATTCCAAGTTCGGTCTTCTTGATTGATGAAATCGGCCACAAGTTCTTGTTGCTCAACCGTACCATTCAACTTCCCCTCCGGCGTGTTCGGCAACCACTTGTCGTGGAAGAATTTTGTCGATTCCCCATTTCCAATAACTCGAACAATGCCACAATCCATCATGGTTTTCGCTTCCCATAAGCTAGCCCACAACCAAGAAGGACGACTCCCTTTTCGTGCCTGCAAAAAATCAGAGTTAGGGAAGTATAATCCTTTGATGAGTTTTGCCCAAAGGGCATTAGGAGAAGACAGAAGACGCCATGCTTGCTTGGCTAACAAGGCAAGATTGAACTCCCTGAAAGATCTGAAACCCACTCCTCCTTCTTCCTTAGGGGCACATAACACCTTGGCATCACACCAGTGTATTGCTCTCTTTTGCATAGACCCCGACCAAAAAAACCTGCGGAGAATGGAGTCCATTTTCTTAGTGATCGAGACAGGAAGGAGGAAGAGGCTCATAATGTAGGTCGGAATGGCTTGGATGACCGATTTGAGAAGAATCTCTTTCCCTCCTAGAGACAGCATGAGGCTTTTCCACGATTCTCCCTTCTTTTCCATCCTTGAAACCAGGAAGTAGAAAGTCTCTTTCTTGGACCTTCCCCATTCTGTCGGCACTCCTAGGTAGCTCTTGTGGCAGCTCGAAGTAGCAAAGCCCAGGTTCTGCGTGATAAGATCCTTTATCTCATCCTCTACATTGCAGCTGAAGAAAACCGATGATTTCTGGTTGTTAACTTCTTGTATTGTAATACTGCTGTAATCCGAGAAAATGTTGTGAATGTTAGTTGCTTCTTCCAGTGATGCACGACCAAAAATAACTGTATCATCAACAAACATGCAATGGGTGAGAAGCGGGCAATGTCTATTCAGTTTTATCCCCCTGAAACAATTATTCCTAGCAGCTTTATCAATCAAGAACGTAAGAGCATTAGAGAGAAGAATAAACAAGAGTGGAGAGAGAGGGTCTCCCTGTCTGATTCCCCTTGAAGGGTTGAAAAACTCCGTTGCTTCTCCATTGAAGAGGATCGAGAAATTGACCGTCCTCACACACTCGTTGATCCATCCAATCCACTTCTGATCAAATCCGTACATCCTAAGAATTTTATCCAAGCAATCCCAATCTACCAGATCGTATGCTTTTCTGATGTCCAGTTTCAACATCATGTCCCGTCGGTTTCCTGTCTTGTGCTTCTTGAAATGGTTTAGAACCTCATGAACAATGACAATATTATCCTGAATCTGTCTTCCCCCGGTGAAAGCAGTTTGAAGCTCAGAAACCAGATCCGGCAGCCAGCTCTACAGTCTAGTGGTCATGATCTTGGTTACAACCTTGTAAGGAAAGTCGCAGCAGCTAGTTGGCCGGAATTGGTCAATACTTTCCGGGGCATTCACTTTGGGGACAAGGGAGATGTGAGTATCATTCCATCCTTTAGGGAGGATGCCAGCCTCAAAGAAGGATTTAATCTCGCCACAAAACTTATCTTCAATCAATTGCCAAAACTTCCTGAAAAAGAAACCGGGGAAACCATCCGGACCCGGGGCCTTGGATGGACCAAGCGCGAACACCGCTTTCCTAATCTCCTCATTGCTCACAGCAGCACAGAGCTGAGAATTCATATTTGGTGTCACCAATTGAGGGAAATCCAGAAGTAAATGGTCAATCTAAAGAGGGGACCTAGCCTGAAAAAGGTTATCATAGTAATCAATGGCTAAATTCTTCAAATGGGGTTCATTGTTAATCCAATTCCCCTCACTGTCTTTCAATCTGAGGATCCTATTAGAGTGATGTCTTTGGATTGTGCTGGCATGAAAAAAGGATGAGTTTTGATCTCCTTTTTTAAGCCATCCAACCCGAGACCTTTGAGCCCAAAAAACTTCCTCCATTCTCCACATTTCAGCAAGCTCTCCAGTAAGAGCTTTCTCCTCATCAACAATCTCCTGGTTTCTATTCGGTCCCTGCAGATCATGAAGTCTTTTTTTAATTCATCCTCTCTTTTCCTCTTTCCGATTCTGTCTTCTTTAGCCCAATTCTGAATTTCCACTTTACATTGCTTAAGGCTCACAGTAGAACTCCCTGAAGTTTCAAGAACTTTCTTGATGATGTTGCAGCATTCATCATTATCTTTCCATCTTTTATCAAACCTGAAGGGGGTGTCCCTCCGATTATTGTTGAAATTGATGTCTACTATAATTGGACAATGATCAGATTCAATCATTTCTTCATGGAACACAACAGCCTTCTCAAATTCCCCCCGCCAAGAAACTGAACAAAGTGCTCTGTCCAACCTTTCCCTTATGAGATTATGCCTTGTTGTTTGTCAGACCATGTGAACCTTTGCCCTTTGAAGCCGAGGTCCATCAGAGCGTTATTGGAGATGAAGTACTTGAACGGGGTAACATTTTCATTATGTAAGGGACACCTCCCTTCCTTCTAGTGATCGTAGAGTACCACGTTCAAGTCCCCTACAATAAGCCATTTATCATCACTACTACTACAAAAGGAGCTCATATGCTCCCAAAAAACCCTTCTTTCCAACGCAGTGGTCGGGGCATGAACAAACGAACAAAAGAAACTAGTACTACCATAACTAATACACACATCCATAAAATTAGGACTGGAATCTAAAATTTGGACCGAGATTCCAGCCTTCCACCAAATGGCTAAACCGCTGCCACCTTGACTAGGGTTAACATACTCCACATGATTGAATTGCATCTGCTTCCTCTTCTCCTCCATGAAGCTTTTTTCATTCTTGGTCTCCATGAGGACCAAAATAGAGGGGCCAATAGACCTGCAAAATCTCCTGCAGTAACTCCTTGTAAGGGGTTGGCCAAACCTCCTACAGTTCCAGCTTATGATCCTCATTCCCGAATTGGTGGCTTGAGGCGATCCACCGCTGCCTGAGATTGGGAACCAGACTCCCCTGTTTCCTGAGTGTCTATGTAATATCCTGAGGATATCTTCTTCTTTCCTGTTGTCTTCCTGATTCTTGCCTCTGATGAACCTGGGCTGAAAGACAAAACTCTGTTGCAATCTGAATAATTGGTATCCTTGGTTGGGCTGGATCCCAAATTAAGAAGCCAATCTGGTTTTCTTTTCTTCTCAGCTCTGCCAAGGGCCCTCTCATAATTCGATTGGGCCTCCTGGACCAGAGACAGGTTATGATGCTCCTTCCCTTCTCTAGTAGTCATTGGGCTTAAGCCTCCAGGCCCACTTAGTGCACAAGGCGTTGTGCTGCGGCCCGTAGGGTTCACCTCTTCGTTGAGATCAAGGGAATGGTGGACAGCTGCCGCCATTTCTTCTAGCTCTGCTTCAAGCCTTCTTGGAGAGCAGATCTATCTCTCAGTAGGGTTTGGAGACAGTGGGAATAGATCTGTATCCGTTATGGATCTCTGACCAAGAAAAAGCAGGCTACCAACCCCTGGTGGAGTAGCAGGAGAGGAATCCTTGTGTACTTTCTCTCTCCATCAGAGCAGCTTCCGACTCCCTTTGCCCACGAACCTTGCGGAGGAAAGACTCCGGCGGTGATGCTGCCGGTGAGTCAATTCCAGCCTTGAGCGCTGAGGTGTACGTTCCCGACGGCTCGATGTTTCCCCCTTTCCTCCTGATCTCTTCTCTCTCTCGGCAGCCCTGAATCAGATGTCCGATTTTGCCGCAGAAATAACACAGCTCTGAGACCTTCTCGTACTTGAAGCTGATCCACATCAGCTTCCTTCCCAATGGGTATTCGAAACCAGTCGGTATGGGTTCTTTGAGGTCGACTTCCACCAGCACACGGGTGAATCTCATCCAGCCAGCTGCCTCAAGGCTTGCTGTG